GAAGTCACAAATTTAAAAATAAAGTGTATAAATATGTAACTCATACTGAAAAATATATCCATGGAAAACACAGAAGCAAAGCTGTTGGTGGGAGAAATAACAACCTCACATTGTTTATTTTTATTTTTGTGTGTTTGTGTATTCCAATGCAAATCTTTTTGGACAGGAAAGTGAGTGATTGGCCATGGAGAAAAAAGGATTTCTTGGTGACTTCTGAACCAGATAGAATGCCTGGTGGCACACTGAATTATCCCACACTCAACTCCTTCACTCTCCTTCGCAACATACACACAACCACTTTGATGACCTAGATTACTCTCATTCATTAAAAACCACAAATTTAATGATTTTCTACTACCTGCTAGGCATTTTTTCTAGACCGAAGACAGAATATTGAATGTTTTCTGCTCTCACAGAGCTGGTATTCAAAAAGTAATTTTTTTTTTTTTTACATTTTTGATAAATGTTATGGAATTAAAGGAAGATACATGACTGTATTCCATTTTCGTGCTGCTGTAAAGAACTACCCAAGACTGGGTAATTTACAAAGGAAAGAGGTATAATTGACTCACAGTTCAGCCTGGCTGGGGAGACCTCGGGAAACTTACAGTTATGGCGGATGGTGCAGGAGAGGCAAGACACCTTCTTCTCAAGGCAGCAGGAAGGAGAACGAATGCAGGTGGAACTACCAAACACTTATAAAACCATCAGATCTCGTGAGAACTCACTCACTATCCTGAGAACAGTATGGGGGAAACTTCCCCCATGATTCAAATACCTCTACCTGCTCGCTCCCTGATTCAAATACCTCCACCTGCTCGCTCCCTGATTCAAATACCTCCACCTGCTCGCTCCCTTGACAGGTGGGGATTATAAGGATTACAATTTAAAATGAGATTTTGGGTGGGGGTGGGAAACACAGCCAAACCACATCAGTGACTTTGAGTAATGAGCAATCTAACCTAGCCTGGAGGCATCTGGCAAGGTTTCCCTGAAGGAGTTTCCAGAGAAAGATCCCTAAGAAGCAAAGTATGCTTAGGATTTATCTACATGAAGCCCAACACTGGGCAGAAAGGTACACCAGGTATAGGGAACCCCATGCTCAAAGGTTTTGAGGCAGAAGGAGTCAAGAACTGAAAGGTCATTGGGTTGGGAGCTTTGAAAGCCGAAAGCACAAGCAGGACCCCCTCATAAAGGCTCTTGCAGGTCATGTTCTGGTATTTGTACTTTGCCCTAAGAGCAGAGGAGACCATTAAAGAGTGAAGCAGAGTATGATGTAATCAAAGCTGCAATTAAAGTAAAAGCAGAACTTGCTTAGGTTAGGCTATAAACCCTTCAACTATGAACTCCAGAGTGGTTCAGTTAGTTCATATTGAAAGCAGGTGACACCAGCATTCTGCTAAGCAGTTAACTACTTTTAGTAGAAGTGAGGGGGTGGACAGGGAGCTAGCATACTTTGTGCAAAACCAACTATTATTTTAAGTTCTAACTGGGAGCTCATATTTCCCAACTGAAAACCTGTATTATTGTTGTAATCAGAATTCTTGTTTGCTTTTTAAGTTTATGTTTTGTTTTTAAAGAAGAGTCTAGATTTATAAGGCCTCACTAAGCATTCCAAAACTACAAATAGAAGGAGATGAATGTATTTAATTCCTTTGGAACATATAAAGTCTACCACTCCCATATGGGTTGATTTTCCTCATCAACGGATTTTCTAGTATCTATTATTTAATGAGCACTGGCTTCTGTTTGCCAGATGGCAAACTGAGCCCATGGTAAGCCCCAAACCTCACCCCAAATTCCATGGCAATGACAGAAGACATATAAAAATAAGGGGGAAAAGTCTATGACCCCCTGGAAATCACAGGTTAGGCCCATCAATGGACAAGGAACTCTGGGGAGTTTCTAAGAGATACGAGGCACCTGGGATTAAAAAGGAGGACTAATGAGTGAAAAAAATCCCAGGAGTCAAGACAAGCCAGGGCAAGCTGGGCCTGAAGGGGCACTGGATGTCTTTGCCAACAAAACCCCCTAAAATGTCCCAAAAATCGGTAGTGAGAGAGGTCTTACAATCTTAGGGAAAGGATCAACATGGACTTTATAAAAAGTAAAAACTTTTGTGAGGCAAAAATGAAGTCATTGACAACTACAAATACAAACAAGAACAGCAAATGGAAAATATTTCTGCAACACAGAGACAAAGGCTTAATACTTTTATTATATAAAAAGTGTTTTAAGAAACATTAAGAAAAATACAAATACCACAATAGAATAATGGCCAGTAACCAAAATGGTAAGTTGTAAAAGAATACAAGTGAGCATAAATGTGTTTTGTTTTATTTTAATGCTCAACTTATAAACAATCGAAAGAAAGGAAAACAATAAACTCTGTTTTTAAACCGAGCAGTTTAACAAACTGGCGCTACCCAGTGCTGACGAATGTGGAACGCTACTCCTGCGGGAGCGCCAGCTTTTAGGAGGAAAACCTGGAAATCCGTATTACAAGGCTTGGAAATGTGACAAATTTTAATCTATCAATTTCTTTTTTAGGGCCAGGCGCAGTGGCTCATGCCTGTAATCCCAGCACTTTGGAAGGCCGAGGCGAGTGGATCACTTGAGGTCAGGAGTGCAAGACCAGCCTGGCCAACATGGTGAAACCCCGTCCTTACTAAAAATACAAAAATTAGCCAGGTGTGGTGATGGGCGCCTGTAATCCCAGCTACTCAGGAGGTTGCAGTGAGCTGAGATTGCACCACTGCACTCCAGCCCGGGCCACAGAGGGAGACTGTCTCAAAAGAAAAAGAAAAAAATATTTTCCTTTTTAGGTAACAATCAACCAAATGTGCAGATTATCTGTTCTTTGGAGCTTTATTTTTGGTAATTTCAGTCAGTTGGATACCCTCCCCTCAACTTCCTGACCCCATTCATGTCCTTCCCAGAATCTCAGAAGGTGAATTTATCTGGAAATAGGGTCATTTAGTTAAAATGAGTTTTATTGGAGCAGTGTGGGACCTTAATCCAACATTATGGGTGTTCCTACAAGAAGAGAAGAGACACAAAGACACAGACATATGGGCAAAGGTCATGGAAAGACACAGATTGGAGTGATGCATCTAAAAGGAATGCCAAGAACTGCTGGCAACTTCTAGGAAGGAATAAGCAAAGAAGGGTCCCCCCTTAGCACTTTTAGAGGGAGCGTGATCCTGCCAACACCTTGATTTTGGTCTTCTGGCCTCCAGATAGAATAAATTTCTGTTTTAACTTCCCAGTTTTGATACTTTGTTATCACAGCTCTAGGCAACTGGTGCAAGACTAACATCAAGAAATTACCCAAATGACCACCGATGCGAATTGATTAAATAATGATAAAAACTCTGCATAGCGGGACCCTATGAACCCAGTAGAAACAATGAGATATATCTGTGTGGATGGATATAGAAAGCCGCTGCAATGTGTCAGGGGAAAATGCCTGGTTCTATAGCAACATATATGTGATTTTATTACAACAATAAAGTTGCATGTGAAAAAAGAAGAAAAAGATATAACTCAAGTTGTTAGCCATGCCTTATATTTTCTATTTGATAGGCTTCTGTATTGTTTATATAGTTTTTTTTTTTTTTTTTAGAGGCAGAGTCTGACTATCTTGCCCAGGCTGAACTTGAACTACTGGTCTCATGGTGAGCCTCCCACCTTTGCCTCCTCAGTAGCTGAGACTAGAGATGCATGCCACCACACTCAGCTCTTATTTATTTTTCTTTTCTTTTCTTTTTCTTTTCTTTTTTTTTTTTTTTTTTTTTTTGAGATAGGGTCTTGCTCTGTCATCCAGACTGGAACACAGTGGGACGATCTTGGCTCACTGCAGTCTCAGACCTCCTGGGCTCGAATAATCATCCCACTTCAGCCTCCCAGGTAGCTGAAACTACAGGCATGTAACACACCAGGCTAATTTTTTTTTTTTTTTTCAGAGATGGGGTTTCACCATGTTGCCCAGGCTGGTCTCAAACTCCTGATCTCATGGGATCCACACACTTCAGCCTCCCAAAGTGCTGGAATTACAGGCGTGAGCCATTATACTTGGCCTCAGCTCTTGTTGATAGTTTTTAAAATGAGAATATATTACTTACAAAATCAACAAAATTCTTTAAGATATTTCCATTTTGGTAGAACAAATACCTTAAAAATAGTAATAAAGCACTATCCTGAGAAACACTGGTCAGTATCAAAATAATGTCATTAATATTTCTTCTCTGAATGAGTCACCTCTCACTCTCAGAATGATATTTTATTTGTAGATTTTTTTATCCTAAAATTGAATCAAATTAAAGAAATTGGTGGCAATTCTCTTTTCATATAGATGTTGCTGGAAGGAAAATCTTGAGATAAAAATAAAAGCTATAAAAATACATTTGCTAAAGAGCCTCCTCATTAAAAGATTTTCACTTGCCATTTCTGTCTCTCTCAATGCATCAGCCGATATAGATACCTTCATATTTTTATGTGATTTATCTCATTGAGAGTATCATTGTTATTATTCTTTCATTTTCCTCCTTTTTATTCTTCTCCTCTTTTGGTAAATAGACCTTTTGCTGGAAAATAAATTGCTTTTAATGCCTCCAGTGAAAAATAATCAGGTTGCGAATTTGCTAGATTAGAAGCAGTGCCCGCAAATCAACCAATGTGTTTTCAGTACCCTTTTAGGATATAGTCCTAGAAAGATCTAACTTTTTAAGCTATTCCTCACAAAAGCTTTGAAAATGGTATTTGTCATGTCTCTATACTGGATTTAATATGCTGTCTGAGTTTCCTCTCTTCAAGAGATATGTGCCATTCACTATGTTTCTACTGCACTCCATGCATTTTATATATAATATGTCATTTAATCCTCATAATAAATCTAAAAAGTAGCCATTGCCATTCTTCCTTAGAAATGAAGAAACTGAAAATCAGAGGGGTTAGTAAACACCTCAGACCACACAGCCAGGAAATGAACAAGACAAGCCTGAAATCAAATTTTTTTTTATTTCCAAGTCTATGCACTTTCTATTACATACTGAAATCCCTCAATATAATCTACATAATAAATGTGTCCCACTACATTACATAAGTCACGTGGTCTCTTTGCTTTGTTTTGGAAATGCTCACCGCTTTATTAACTGGAAATGGAGGAACGTGAGGGCAGGTCTTAGAAGTTCATGCTAAAGCAAAACATCATCTGTAGAACAAAAATTAAAAACAAATAGAAAATATGATTGTAAACACCTGACGTGAATAAAACATAGCATAAGACATTGTAAAGAGTGAACCTTAGTACATGAAATACTACACGCTATGCATTATAAATATCTTTAAGTATATGAAGCTTGTCCTGTCTATAATAATAAATTGTAGAAGAAACAATATTTTTAAATGATATCCTTTCTGTTCCAATCAGAATATAAAATGTCAAAGAACTGACATTTCAATGTTGTAAAGATCAAATATAACTTCTCTTAAATTTCTTGTTAAAATGTAAGTTTGTTACATATCTGAGTGGGGTTTGGAGCAGAGTTTGTTAATAGTGTAAGTTTGTTACACACCTGAGCAGAGTTTGGAGTAATGCATAGGTTCTCCTACAGGGCACTTGCCGGTGTCAGCTGTGCCTTTTGCTTTTATGTTTGTTGCAATGATGACCATACCCTCAGGTGGAGACCCCCACACATTTGGAGGCAGAAGTAAATGTCCTCATTTTGTGAAGGTCAGTTTAGTCAGGGCTTCCACCAACACGTGCACCCTGAACATCCAGTCTGCAGATCAGAGAGCCTGAAAGGAACTCGAGAAAATGCAAATGCTGGGAAGACTTGACTGTGCTCTTGTACCTAACCTAGCGGTAACTGAGCAGCTTGTTAGCTAACAAGCCAGCAAGGCAGGGGTTGTATTTACTTGTTTATGTGGCTGTTTCCTCTTTCTGACTCTGAGCTCCCTGAAAGCAAGAGGCTCCTCTTTCTCATTTCTGCTTTATCCTCTGTGCCCAGCGAAGTGCCTGTCAATAATGGAATGAATGAATGGGACTGACATCAAATTAGGGCAAATGACTTGGAAGTGAGGTGAAGATAGGACCTCAAAGTTGTTATAATTATTGTCGGTTCATCATTATCCAACCAAAGCACATGAGACATGAAAATAGTGGACAAATGCATCCAGAACTTTCCTGAGTCCTAGAGATAGGAAATACAGCAAGATGCCAGGAGCTAGAAGGGTGATTTGGGGAATGACTTAGGTTGGAGGCTGATAAAATCACTTTTCATCGCTCTGATGCCTTTGATTCCAGCTTTCGTGTGAACAACACTATAAATGATGGAGAGGTAATTCAATCTTTTTGATTAAATATATTTACATATAACAGAGTGACAATGGGGCAGTGATTGATCTATGAGGTAAAATGCAATTGGAGGAAGTTGTCAATGTATTAATTAAACAGTGAAGGGAACCATCCTTCTGGAAGTTAGAAGTAAATAAATCTGTCTTGGGGGAAGGCATGTCAGGGAGGGCTGTTGAGTGGCCACAAGCCTGGACGCGAGTGAGAAGCACTGTGAAATTTGGATCTAACCACCAATTCAGATAATGCACAAAGAAAGATGGGGCTTTAACGAGAACATTAAAAAATCCCAGCACTTTGGGAGGCTGAGGCAGGTGGATCACCTGAGGTCAGGGTTTCGAGACCAGCCTGGCCAATATGGTTAAATCTCGTCTCTAATAAAAATACAAAAATTAGCCGGGCGTGGTGGCAGGCATCTATAGCCCCGGCTAGTTGGGAGGCTGGGGAAGGAGAATCCCTTGAACCCAGGAGGCGGACATCACAGTGAGCCGAGAACTCATCATTGCATTTCAGCCTGGGCATCACAGCGAGACTCCCTCTAAAAACAAAAACAAAAACCAAATAGGGATAGAACTTGTTATCCTAAAATCGATGGTTCATTGTTCATTTGGATGCTTAATTTTTAAAACGAGGGCCAAGATATGGTTACATAGAGCGTGAATTTCTGCAGAGTAGGAGACGGGATGAAGGGTTGTTGCTGAAGATGCTAGCTTTGTCTCAAGGGTAATTTAAACAATGCCCATTAAAGTCTCAGGTCTCAGAGGAAATGGGGGACCACGTGACCTCTCCTACACATCCCTGCCTGGCGGCTGGAGCGGTTCCTCCGTGTCCGAGGAGAAATGGGACACAAATATTTATGGGATGCTGCCATGACACATCAGCATATGAGCACCCTCACTCTAGCCCACTCACCGTTTCCGCTCATTTCGGCTGCCTCGGGTGAAATATCACAGCAATTATAAAAGTCAAGGTGCCGGGTGGGAGAGCTTTAGGAATGGCTCCAGCAAATTGCTTCCATTTTTCAGCTCACAGTGAGAAGAAAGGCAGAAACAGAGAGAGGTAAAAAAGAAAGCCAATGAGCATGCCTACTGCAGCCTGTATATCCTGCATATGTACATATATAAATATATTCAGCTTCCCTTTTGTGCCTTGGAGAGAAAAGAGCAGCAATCAGCAATTCAGGGACGATCAAATAGATTAAAGTGAACATCATATATGTCCCAGAGGAGCCAGTGATAACACCTTTATTCTTGCTTAGCTACCTTCTCCTCCACACTGTAAGGGAATATATTTTATTAAAAACATTTCTTTTACCTGGAGGTCCTGTCAACTAACGAACAGAATGAAAAGAAACTGAGAGTCTTCTTTGTGTGCCAAAAAAATAAGCTAGTTGAGAAAATGTTATTTAAAAATACATATATATATATCAGGAGAGAGCAAAGAAATGGCTTACATTTTTCCCCTTGTAAAGTTGAACAGCATTTCTGCTTCCTTGTTGGCCTTCCTTTAGTATTTGGGAGACGTTTCCTCATCAAAAATCAACTCCCCACTAAAAATGGGCAATTTGCTTTTTAAAATCTCTTTTCAAAGATACATGAAGGCTTTTATTTGAAAACTTTGTTGTCATTACAACATTGGAATTCCTTGATCTTATTTTTACTAGATAGCATAGATTTTGGAATGCATTTTATTGACAAGAGTCACGTAATGCAACTTAATCTAATTTGACCCAATGTATTCTGATGTTTTCACTACAGCTGTCATGTTTTAAAATGTTAGCGAGGTTTTCTGTAGATCCATTTAAGTCTAAGGTTTTTATTTATTTATTTATTTTTATTTTTTTGAGATGGAGTCTCGCTCTGTCTCCCAGGCTGGAGTGCAGTGGTGAGATCTTGGCTCGCTGCAAGCTCTGCCTCCCGGGTTCACACCATTTTCCTGCCTCAACCTCCTGAGTAGCTGGGACTACAGGCGCCCGCCACCACGCCCGGCTAATTTTTTTTTTAAAGTAAAGACAGGGTTTCACTGTGTTAGCAAGGATGGTCTCAATCTCCTGACCTCGTGATCCACCCACCTTGGCCTCCCAACCTGCTGGGATTACAGGCGTGAGCCACCGCACCTGGCCAATTTGCTTTTTAAATAAGTCTGCGTTTTAAAGATAAATACATATATGCCCCAAAAATATCTAAGTTGATTCTGCTTTATAGCTGAGATCTCCTCAATATCAACAGGGAACAGGGCAATAAAAGACCTTAATTTATCCTTCTAAAATTTTCTTTCAATTTCTGGATGTTAGAATATGGCAATAAACCATAACTGCAAATTTCATTATTTTAACTAGTCTTTACTGCTGGCTGTTGAAAGGATAAACACATAAACATCAAATTCCATTTTATAAAGATCACAAACGCTTTAAAAGAGAGAGTGTTACTTTATAAATAGAAAATTTGTGTTATTTTCCTCCAAATCTCTTAACCAAAATTGAGTCCCTCAAAGACAAACATCTAGCTGGGATTTTCATAAATGTTGTTTCTGATGCAAAGTCAGTGTGGCATTGCTAGAGGAAGGCTTATCACACATCACACACTTGTGCCTTTCAAGCAATCAACTTAAAACCAGTTTTTGAACAGATTGCCACCCGATTTTATAACAATTGTTTTTCCTGATTTATTTTCCTTACTCACAAAATGGGGGCTTGCACAGGGGGCGGTAGCTCTGACATCCTTGCCACTTCCCCTGTGAGTGCCCATCACGTGCCAGGTCAAACAGGAAGCCAATAAAGCACGCTTTTCCGTTGATGTGAAACCAAAGCGTAACGATTTCACGTCATCTGCCAAAAGTGAAGAAGATGTAGAAAGAAGATTTGAATCCAGCTCTGTCTGCCTCCAAATCCCATGAGTTCTGTGCTCCAAAGCCCATGGGCGGCTGCTGCCTCTTCCTCAATGCTGAGTCTGACATTGCTGTGTTCTTCTACAATCCTTCATTCTTTATTTTTGGGTCTTCTCCATTGTACGCTGGCTAACTTTGTTTGGTCAGCCTTCTGTCTATTCCACAATCTCATGACTTCAAATGATCATCTTTTTGCTTTCGAGACAAAATGTCCCAAGGTGTTAGAACTCAGTGAATTAGATTTCCAGTTCTTATGCTTTGCTGGACCAGAGCATATCTCACAGGGCTTGGTGATTATCTGCTCCTCACCTGTGTTAGTGGAATCCACTGAACTAGAGAGGTCAGAGATGATGATTTCCCAACGTCATGTTCCCGATCATACCTACAATGCACACATATTTGCCCTACAATGACAGTTGGCAGATGTTAGCACGGTCTCCAAAAATAACCAGGACATCCTACATGTTTAGAAGATGTTTCCATATTTCTTCATGCTTGAAAAAAGAAGTCCGTCCCTCCCTTCTGCAGGAGACTGCACTGTACGCTGGTCCTGCAGATGGATTTGCCAAAATACTCTTACACTAGCCTGATCAAGAACGTAAGAAATCAACATCTTGGGAATATGATTTCTACTAATAGATACATAGCTACTATATTAGATTCCTAGGGCTGCTGTAACAAATGGCCACAAACTGAGTGGTTTAAAATAATAGAAACTTATTCCTTCACAGTGAAGGGGTCAGAAGTCTGGAATAAGGCAGGGCTGGTTTCTCCTGGAGGCTAGAGGAGAGAATTTGCGCCATGAGCTTCTGGTGGTTGCAGGCAACAGGTGGCATTTCTTGGCTTATAGATGCATCACTTCAATCTCCGCCTCCATCTGCAGTGGCCTTCTTCATATGCTTCTCTGTAACCTCTCGTCGTTTTTGTTTTTGTTTTTGTTTTTGTTTGAGACGGAATTTTGCTCTGTCTCCGAGGCTGGAGTGCAGTGGCGTTATCTCACTGCAACCTCCGCCTCCCAGGTTCAAGTGATTCTGCTGCCTCAGCCTACCGAGTAGCTGGGATTACAGGCGCCGCCAGCATGCTGAGCTAATTTTTATATTTTTAGTAGAGACAGGATTTCGCCATTTTGGTCAGGCTGGTTTCAAACTCCTGACCTCAGGTAATCCACCCACTTCAGACTCCCAAAGTGCTGGGATTACAGTCATGAGCCACTATGGCAGGCCCCTCTCTTCTTTTTAAAAGGACACCAGTAATTGGATTTAGGACACAGCCTAAATCCAGGATGATCTCATCTCTAGATCTATAATTTAATTACATCTGAAATGTCCTTATTTTCATACAGGTCACATTCTAGGGTTCCAAGTGGACATAAATTTTGGGGGACACTATTGAACCAACGGCATAAGTGCATACATATACATTATATATTCCTGTGATCATAGACATGTAAAGAATAAAAATCCTATTTTTGTCCTTTGTTGCTTTTTTAAGGGACCCTGCTAGCATGGCAAAAGAAAACTTCTCACATACATAAAATTCAAGAAAAAATTTTAGCGATTACATTTTAATGTATTTGATTTTATGTAGTGTTACTTTATTTCTTGCTACACTATTTTCAGAATCTTATTTGGAATAAAACAAATTAAACTAAAAAAGGGTAAAGAATAAATGGATGGCTCTGCTCATTGACTAAATTCTAAAATAGTCTTAATAAGATAACACTCATCAATTTGAATAACACTTTTTACTACTTGAAGCATACACAAATTTGAAAATTGCTTTAAAAATAGTTCAATGTGCTGGGCGCGGTGGCTCACGCCTGTAATCCCAGCACTTTGGGAGACTGAGGCGGGCAGATCACAAGGTCTGGAGATCGAGACCATCCTGGCTCACCCGGTGAAACCCCGTCTCTACTAAAAATACAAAAAATTAGCCGGGCGTGGTGTTGGGCGCCTGTAGTTCCAGCTATTCAGGAGGCTGAGACAGGAGAATGGAGTGAGCTCGGGAGGCGGAGCTGACAGTGAGCCGAGATTGCACCACTGCACTCTAGCCTGGTCGACAGAGCGAGACTCCTCCTCAAAACAACAACAACAACAAAAGTTCAATGTGCTACCGATCATTTACTAATATAGAATTTGCGTATGAAATATGGGCTGTGCCAATTGCTATACATGTACACTGGAAGTTACTAACAACCCATGCTTTTGTGAGATGTTTTTAGAACGATGGTTCTCAAATGGGAGCAATTTCATACCCCAGGAGACATTCAGCAATGTCTAAACACATTTTTTGGTTTCACAACCTGTGGGGGAAAGGTGTGTGCTAGGGCCATGTAGTGTGTAGAGGCCAGGGATGCTGTTCAACATTTTACACTGTGCAAGACAACCCCACCACGAAGAGCTGCATGACCCGGAATGTCAAGAGCTCTGAGGGTGAGAAATCCTATCTTAGATCTGTACTGAAGCATTTTCACTCCTCCAGCCTTCCTCTCATTCCTCTTATGACCAGTGATATCCACTGTTGAATCACTAGCTTGAATCAAAGTACAAACTGCTCCGAATGACTGCACCTAACACTTAAGCTTTATTTCCACCATGAGTTTAGCTGGTTTTTATCCAAAATCAAAATGCAAATGCACAGGACATACACTAATCATTATTTTTAAATGACCAGAACACCTGGTATGTAGAGTAGGCAAGATTTTCCTTCTCTCCCAAGTGTCTCCTAGGAATTCTAAGGAAAATCATATTATATGCATGCTCAGGTATTAAACAGATCCTTATGCCTCATACGTCTACCCTCACTCCCTTCCTCCATCCCATGTTTTAGAATGGTGATTAACAGCTTGCACTTTGGAGTCCCAAAATCTAATTCGACTCGGATCCACTCCTTTCTACCTGCTTGTCCTTTGACAAATGACATCATTTGACTCATAAGGACAGCAATACTACTTACTGTAAACATTAGAATTTGTTATATTTATTTTCATTTTGCTCATAGACAATATGCTGAATCCTGCTCTTTAAGGATGCTAACATGCTTTCGTGTGTGTGTGTGTGTGTGTGTGTGTGTGTGTGTGTGTGTGTGTGTGTAATTACATTTGACACCTTCCCAACAACCTTGTGAATCAGGTAGGTAAAGAACTGATACTTATATTGTGTCAATAAGGAAACTGGGGCTCATGGAATTAAATTGACCTGTCCCAGATTGCTCAGGCAACCCAGAACCTCTGCTTTCCAACTCCTACTCCAGAACTTGCCCTTGACCCAGATGCTCTTGAGTATTGCTGGGCTGGAAAACTACGTGATGTAAGGCAGTGATTTATTCAATTCCTATCTGAAATCCTATGTCTGGCCAATAAACTAAGATGCATCAGGCTCAAGTGAATTCATGTCCATTTGGAAACTGTTTACCCAACAGAGCTAGAAGTTTAAAAATATTGGAAGATAGAGTATCCTTCTGTCATCTAATCACTGTTTTACACTTCATGATGCATGTGAGTAATGAGCTGGAGGACTTCAGCTGCTGCTTTGATCATTTGTTCTTTTGTGGCTTCCACCTTATAATAAGCCTGCCTCTGAGACAGGTATTATTAATTGCATATTGTTTTGTGTTTCTAATGTTTCATTTCACTGATTCCTGTTTCTCTTCCCCTCTTGGTTTTAAGATCCCTGCTGTTTTTAATATTTAACCATTTCTTCACAGGCATCTTTTTAATCCAGCTTAACTTTGGACATGAATTGAAGTTGACCAAATTGCTTGCTACAGTCCTGTCAGCATTTCTGCATTCAGAACTGTTTGTTGACTCAGTTGCAGTGATATAGATTTTCCCACACAGTCTGTTTGACATTTGCAAGTCCAGTCTGCACCAACTTCTATTGTATTAAGCAAATAACCATACTGCACTGAAATTCCACTCATTGTTAACTCTAAAGCAACAGGATTTTCTCCAGTTCACCAACAGTCAAACCTATTGTTATCATAAAACCCTCTCCAGATGAAAACTGAAAAGAATCATATGACCCAGAAAAAAGATTAGCCTTCAGGAAGTCTTTGGGTTTTGCCATTTTTGTCAAAATATCCCCAGAGGCAGTGGAAAATAATAAAGTAAAACCTATTTTTGGAATAAAGCCCATTTCAAAATAGAGTCTACAGACTTTCAAATTTGCAAGACAGGACTTCTCAAAATGAAAGGCACAAAACTGGGCTATGGTAAACCCAAAGGGACCAGAAGCAATTCAAAACAAGGGATTTAGTAACTTTTAATTGCCTCATTTTCAATTCAAAAGGGAGTGTAAGTATTGATATTATGCTATAGCTCAATTGCACAGACCAATCAGCTAGTTTGCTGTGACACAGGAATCCTCAGAGATTCGTCATTACCCAGGATTTCTGTCATTTCAGATGAATTTTCCACCTTGTTGGAAACAACACGCTGTACTTCCCCAATCTTCTTTTTCTATGCTTCTATCTGGGGAGACTGATTTAAATTATAGTGTTCCAAATAAAGTCTGAGTAAGAAACAAACCCAGTATTTTTTATATATGAAAAGGCAGGGTGTAAAAAGCTTTTTCTAAGGACACAAGGTATTTGTTTACCAGAAGGAACACAAAAGTTTACGTCTCAAGATTAGAACGTAGGCAAAACCGTAAAACCTGAATTATAAAAAATTAGAAAATAGTGAATAAAAATAGCTAATAAATTGCCAAGATTTATGTCCCAGAACCAGCTGCTGGGATTCCAAACCAGTTCCAGAGATGCTGGGGTTCTCAGGACACTACTTCAATTAGAGAGCTGTATGGAAACAGGATCGAGTGTGCACCCTTCTGGTCCACAACATCTCCTGAGGCTTCATGGATAGAGGAGGCGGCAGCACTAACATTCTTCACTTCGAATCATTAAGAATAACCAAATATTCCATATTGGTCTGTTTGTATATTAGCTATCTGTCATTGCATAATAAATTACCACAAAACTTAGTGGCATAAATCAGTAACAACCATTCATTACCCTACTGTGATATCCAGCTTCCAGGATGGCTTACAGAGATTCCCACTTCCTAGTTTTCACACCCTTCTGCAGTCCACACTTACGTTGACTATGACTGACATGTGCAGCCAGTTAGATCATATGGAAAAGACAACACGTGACTCCCAATGTTAGGTCATAAAAGACGTCATTGTTTCCATATTTTCCCCTCTCTTGGATTCCTTCTCCTGGGAGAAGCTGGCTACCATATTGTGAGACACTCCAGCAGCCTGAAGAGGGATCCATAGGGAGAAATCAAGTTTTCCTGCCAATAGTCAGTGAGGAACTGAGGTCTCCTTAACATCCACATGAGGGAGCCATCTTGGAAGCAGATCACCCAGTTCCAGTCAAGCCTTCAGGTGACCACAGCCCCAACCAATATCTTAACTGCGATATCAGACACCTTAGCCAGTAACACCCAGTTAACCCCCTCATAAATTCCTGTTTCACAGACACTGGGGGGAAAGTGTTTATTTCTTTTTTTTTTTTTTTTTTTTTTTGAGACGGAGTCTCGCTGTGTCGCCCAGGCTGGAGTGCAGTGGCCGGATCTCAGCTCACTGCAAGCTCTGCCTCCCGGGTTTTTACGCCATTCTCCTGCCTCAGCCTCCCGAGTAGCCGGGACTACAGGCGCCCGCCACTACATTTTGGAATAATTGGGTATGCATCAATGAGTAACTACTACAGTAGCCTGCATATTTGGGAGTGGCTTATCTGAACGGTTTTGATCCAGGGTTTTTTGCAAGGTTGGCAAAGCTGCAGTTTTTTGAAGACCTAACCATCTGATGGATCTGCTTTTACTATGTCTCACTTATATGGCTGGCAAGTTGGTGTTGGCTGTTGATGGGAAGCCTCAGTTTCTCTTCCTGTCATCTCTGTGCAGTCAGCTTTGGTGCCTTCACAATGTGCAGGCTGGCTTCTCCCAGGGTAACTGAGCTGAGAAAGAGATCAAGGAGGAATTAGTACAGCCTTTTAGGACTGTGGAGGTTAATTTTGTGGCAACTTGACTGGGCTAAAGAATGCCTAGATAACTGGAAAGACATGATTTCTGGATGGGTGTGTGAGGGTGCTTGCAGAAAAGATTAGCATTTAAATTAGTAGACTAAATAAGAAAGACCCATCCTCACCAACGTGGTGGCCAGGCATCAACTAATCCATTTGTGGCCCAAATAGGAAAAACAACAGCAGAAAGGGTGAATTTGTTCTATTTGAACTGGGACATGTATGTTCTGCCTTCAAACATCAGCAATCCTAGTCCTCAGACCTTTGGACCTGGCCTCAATTACCATTGGATTTCCTGATTCTTCAGCCAGAATACTGCAAGTCGTGGAACTCCTTTGCTTCCATAATCACATGAGCTGGTTTTCATAATGATTTTCCCTCTCTCTCCAGATAGATAGAAAGAGATAGATAGAAAGATACAGATAGATATATGTATAGATCTGTCTCTCCAAATATATGTATCTGAGTGTTTGTATATACATGTATGTTATATAGACACATATACATAAAATATATATATACATATATATAATATATGTAACACATTATTTGTTCTGTTTCTCTAGAGATCCTTGACTTATACAGATTTTGTTACTGAAGGTAGTTCTAGGGAAACAGTTTTAAGGATGAGTTTTATGAATTGGTTTTGTGGTGTCTAATTGGCTCTTGTAATCTGACCTGATTTCAAGTTGCTAAGGACTCTTTAAAGTAGTAAAGAGAGCATGATAGTTCATGGTGTAAACTTTATAAAGATATCCAAAATATCTGCAGTGGATATCACTAATCAACCACTTAGAAAAAGCAGAGTGAAGTGACTTAATATAACAATTTTGCACATTTTTTGAAAACGACACAATTCAATGGCATTGCTTGCTTATTCCTAACATCACTGAGCAAATGGGGAAAAAAAAAAAAAGTATGAGCTCAGGAATTCTAATTTCCACCTCAAGCACCACATAAATGACCTAAGAACTTCCAGATGTTTCTTGAAGGAGATCCTTATCTTCTGTTACTACAGGGTTGAAATTACTGAAAATCAAACTCAGAATCTTATCCTGTGATTGGCTGGATTACAACACAAGTTGAACTCCTAGCCTTAAAGTAGGGTGTCTACTGTTAAAGTGAGAACATTGACTGGGAAAGAATGAAAGAATGAGATCCCGTAAGTTGAGATGAAAATGTATAAGGAGAACATAATGAAACTGGGAACATTGAGCCCCTAAATTCTTTTTTTTTTTTGGTAGCGTCTCTCTCTGTCACCCAGGCTGGAGTGAAGTGGCACAGTCTCAGCTCACTGCAGCCTCTGCCTCTTGGGTTCAAGCAATTATCCCACCTCAGCCTCCCAAGTAGCTGGAACTACAGGTGCGCACCACCACACCAGGCTAATTTCTGTATTTTCAGTAGAGATGGGATTTTGCCATGTTGGCCAGGCTGGTCTTGAACTGCTGACCTCAAGTAATCTGCCTGCCTTGGTCTCCCAAAGTGCTGGAATTACAGGCATGAGCTATGGTGCCCTGCCTGAGCCCCTAAATTCTGATAAGTCTTCTCTGCCAGTGGACGAAGTCTCCCTACTCACAGTGGTAGAGGCTTCTCCATTCACAAGGGCTTGGCCTTTCTACTTCCCTTTGAGGATAGTAATTTTGTATTGCCTGAGGAAACGGTAATGTCCTCCCCTGAGGCAGTTGCCCTGCAAGACAGTACTGATACTCTTCATGACCTACGCTCATCACCCCTCATTGCTTCTAGACACATAACCAGGCTCAAGTCCCAGAAGATCCCTAAAGGTGAGGCGAAAAGTGTAATTCATGGGGAGGTGTACTACACTCCAAAAGAACTTACTTGAATTTTCTAATTTTTATATGTAGAAATTTATGGGACGCGTGTGAAAATGGATATTAATACAGTAGAATAATATTGGGAGGAACATACATTTGGATCAGGTCAAACTTATTAATATGTACTCAATAAGAAGACATTTTACATTAAATGTTGCAACTCAAGGAGTTAGAAACAGCTCTTAGAGTTTGGCTGGTTGGTTGGTTGGAACATGGAACAAAAGACAACCCACAGTGAACACATTGCAAACATGCAACCTCTCTTGGTTTAATATAGGAAAGGGATTCAAAGATTTAGGGATATTGGAATGTAGAGCGGATTTGTCATTTGAGACTTAGACCCCCAGGGAGGGTCCAGAGGACACTACTTTCACCAATTCTTTGAGAAATAAATTTGTGAGGGGAGCCCCAGTAAGTTCTCTATAGGCGAGACCTGACAGTGGGAACTACAGACCTTGATTAGAAAATGTAAATGCAATGGGAGTAATTGGAACCTAGGAGGGCAGAGGCTAAGGGGAAGACTCAGTTGCCAGTGCCAAGGTGGGCAGTGGCTACCATAATGGACAGCAAAGTTAAAGCAGCAAACAGAGCAGTCAGATCTGTGCAGATATGTGGTGTTGGCTAGTTCATCATGGTGATGCTAGAGATGAAATAGATGGAAATCATACCCAAATTTTATTTGATCTGTATAAGGAGAAAAATTCTAGATGAACTGAACAAAAGCCTAACTCAAATCATAAAAACAGAGAATCACAGCCCCTGCATCAAGTCTCAGAATCAAGCCAGTTTGCAGACCCAGAACCTCTTTAATAAAGCAAAGGCTAGGTCCCTTGAGGAAGAGCCCTGGGACTGTACATCTTCCTCCCAGCCTTCCCCACAGAAACCTCCAGCCTTTTAAAAAGGTAACTGTGTGTGGGAAAAAGGAAAATGTCAGAACTTTGGGGGACTTCTGGACACTGGCTCTGAACTGTTAACTGATTTCAGAAGAGCCCAAAACATCGCTGGGGCCCTCCAGTCACAGTAGGGGTTAGTGGTGATCAGTTACTTTTAGCTCAGGTTCATTTCACGGTGGGTCCAGTGGATCCCTGAGCCCATCCAGTCATTATTTCCCCAGTTCCAGAATTGATCATTGGAATAGACACACTCCGAAGCTGGCAGAATCCCCACACTGGTCCTCTGACCTGTTGACTTAGGGGTATTATGGTGGGAATGGCCAAGTGAAAGTCATTATGACTGCCTCCACCTGCAAAAAGAGTAAATAAAAAACAGTACCCTGGAGGGATTGCAGAGATTAGTGCCACCATCAAGGACTTGAAAAATGCAAGTGTGGTGATTCCCATCACGTCTCCATCTAGCTGTCCTGTTTGTCCTATGCAGAAGACAGTGAATTTCTACGTGCTCACCCAAGTGGTGACTCCTATAGGAGTTGTTGTATCAGACGTGATTGTATTGCACGAGCAAATTAACATATCCTCTGGTGCCTGGTATGTAGCTATTGATTTGGAAAATGCCCTCTTTTCCCATCTTTGTCCATGAGGTCCACCAGAACAGTTTGCTTTCAGCTGGCAAGGGCAGCAATACTCCTTCACCATCCTGCCTCAGGAATACATCACCTTTCCAACCCTAGGTCATAATTGAATCCACAGAGATCTTGACTGCCTGTCCCTTCTGCAAGTTACCATGCTGGTCTATTACATTGATAATATTATGCCTATTGCACCTTGTGCGTGAGAAGTAGTAACTACTTTAGACTTATAGGTAAGACATTTGAGCATCAGAAAGTGGGGAAAAATCCAGTGATAATTCAGGAGTGTTCCAGCTCAGTAAAATTTTTAGGGGTCTTGTGATGTACAGCATGTCAAAATATCCCTTCTAAAGTGAAGGAAAAGTTGTTGAATCTGGCCCCTCCTATAACTCAGAAAGAAGCACAATGTCTAGTCGGCTTATTTGGATCTTGGAGGTGACGCATTACTCATTTGGGTGTCTCTCTCATCTGTTTACCAAGTGACCCAAAAAGCTGCTAGTTTTGAGCGGAGCCCAGAACAAAAGAAGGCTCTGTGACGGGCCCAGGCTGCTGTGCAAGCTGCTCTGCCATTTGAATCCTATTATCCAGCAGATCCAATGGTGCTTGAAATGTCAGTGGCAGAAAGGGATGCTCTTTGGAGCAGTGCAGGCCTTTAGCATTTTGGAGGAAGGCCTTGCCATCATCAGCAGATAACTACTTTCTTTTCCAGAGAGAGCTTTTGGCCTGCTACTTGACCATAGTAGAATTGGAACACTTGACCACAGTCCATCAAGTTAACCTGTAACATGAGCTGCTTTCCATGAACTGAATGTTATCTGACCCATCAAACCATAAAGTTGGACATGCATAGCAACACTATATCTTCAGATGGAAGTGTTATACACATGATCGCGAGCCAAGCATACCTTGAAGGCACAAGCAATTTACGTGAATAAGTAGTTGGAATGCCCATGGTCCCACTCTTGCTACACTGCCCTTTCTCTCCCAGTCTGCATATATGGCCTCATAGGGAGTTCCCTACAATTAGTTGAAAGAGGAAGACAAATTCAGACCTGATTGAGAGACGGTCAACATGCAGGCACCACCCAGAAGTGGGTAACTGTAGCACTCAGCCACTCTCCAGGATATCCCTCAAAAACAGCAGTGAGGAAAATCTTCCCAGCAGGCACAACTTTGGCAAGTGTGCTTGGTTGTGAACTTTGCTTGGAAGGAGAAATGGCAAAATGTGAAAAATGACCAGTGGATCCTAGATGCAATGGCTACAGCCTCTGAATTGGGTATTAATGGGCTGTGGCTGGTGTTTGACAGAATGGTCAGAAACTTGAAAGAAAGATGATTGGAAAACTGATGTCAAGTAAATATGGGGAAGAAGTGTATGGAGAGATTTCTCTTAAAAGGCAAAAAATGTGAACTATTTGTGTCCCATGTGAATGCTCATCAAACGGTAACCTCACGAGAGAAGAATTTTAATAAAGTGGATAGGATGACCTTTCTGTGTATGTCAGTCAGCCCCTTTCCCACCTCTGTTATTGCCTGATAGGTTCATGAGGAAAATGGCCATGGCAGCGGAGATG